GGAAGACAGACAGACTGATCCAGTGTTTACTTAGTATAGTCACTGGTGGCTTCTTCAGTCATCAGGACTTTAGAGATGCTTACCGTGTGACCACAGTCCAGGAAGGACATGCCCAGTGCAATCAAACACTGCCAACCCTAGAAGATAAAACACAATCATCATTCACCAGGCTCTGTGAAAAACCCTCTCACCCAGCATGACTGCTCATAAGGTTCTGCTCAGATGCAACTGATCCTTTCCTTAAACATCCAACTTTGTCCACCTTGGGGATTTCTACAACTAAGATTGCCCAACTAACTCTCCCAACCTCATGCCCCCTTCAAAACTTCCTGGAATCTGCCTTCCTCAACAAGTTTGTCCTGCTATTTAAATACTGAGTTCTCTCTGTTCCTGCTGCTCTGTCTGTGGCTTATTTCTCTAACCCTGATGACCACTTTGTTTCAATCTCCTGCAACTCCCCATCATAAGGAATGGGAAGAATAACTGACAAAGACAATGGCATAGTTTCTGAGCTTCTCCGTGAAGTTCTATTTGGGAGATAAACAGCAGAAATCTTCACCTTGGAAAATGGAACTTCAACAATCACACTAGCAGTCTCACACTGACTAAGGACAACTCAGCAGCTTCATACACAATTTATATGAAGGAAGGATTCTCCTGACTAATAAGGAAATTTTCAAAGCAACTACAGTCAAGGATATATTCAATTACTTAGATTTCCTAGATCCTAGGGTCACAATAACCCTTGTTTGACTGAGGTTTATTTGGAAAGGAAAGAGAATGGATATTCCAATCTAAGACACACTTTTCCAATATTCACTAATGTTGTTTTTTCAATCAGATACCTAACCTGTGGCAAACACTGGCATGAAGAATAGGTTAATGTTCTAGAGATCAATAGCACATCTCCAGCCTCCATTTTTAACCATTTCTGTAGCAGAAATGGCAAAAATCCTGCTGCTTCTTATTCCCAACCCTCGTGTTTTCCAGAGACATCTGTTTAAAGTAGGGAGGTAGATTTTCTGTTATTGCTATAACTTTAGCAATTTTCACTAATATTAGCAATGTTAAAGATCAAGAAAACAGAATACATAATTCCATGTTCCCAAGACAACTACAATTATCATTTTTACAGAATTTACTCCAGACTTTAAAAAAAAATTTGGATAATTTGGGTACAAATAATTTTGCATTCTTTTTGCATTATTGCTATAGTTTTATAACCAGGATTTTCCAGATAACTCCAGAATAATTCAAAGGGAAAACACTATTTACTTACTTCCTTAAACAGTAAGTAGTAGAGCAGTGCCAAGCCATGAGCCTATCTGTATCCCACCCCAGTGCTCTAAATCTCACTGCTCAGTCCCCTTCAATTCCATCTTCTACTACTCTCCACTCTATATACTGCTACCTTTTTTTAATTTTCTCAAACATTACTACACCCTCTTTTTAAAAATTAAGAAGACTATAAACAAGCGTTAGAATAATGCTAGCCCTTAGGAACCAAAGTAAATAAAATGATTAGAAATATAAATAGCTGATTATTAAACTACCTCAATGACCAGGAGGCAGAATGCCTTGTGCTCTTTAGAGTCTATTCATTTCTGAATGTCAGGTAGCCGTCTTCTACCATCCCAGATACCCATGCCCCTGCCTCATCAAGACTGTACTTACCAAGTAGAACACAAACCCCAGATAAGCCACACTGATGACAGCCGCCACGACATATAACACCACGTGCCCTAGTTCCTGGACATAAACCACTACAAAGTACATGTTGATAGAAGACACAATAAGGACCAAGATCCCACCAGCAATCCTCCAGCCTCTGTGAAAGAATCAACACAGTCACTGGTGGAAAAATTCAGTCTGGCCATAGACAGAAAAGGAAATGGCATTTTGAGGGGTAAACAGGACAAGAGTTAGAGTCACTGCAAAAGGAACTGAAAAATAGTTCTTATTATGTCCCAGATTTGCTTAAATAAGTCAGACAATTATAGGAAGAAGGAAAGAAAAAAATACTATTAAGTAAACCCTAATATTTAAGACTATAGAAAAGTAACAAGGCTTAGAAATACAAAGAGCCATCTGAGGAGAGTCCTTTGAAATGCAACAATTCATTTCAAATATCCCATATCCACTTAAGGTATATATAAAAGGCATTAACTTATGCCTTACTAAGATCAGTGGCTAAAGCTAAAGAGTTAAAGCCCCCAAACTGAACTAAAAAAGGGTTTTCTTGCCTTTACTATATTTATATTCTCCATTTTCTAAGCCAAAGAGGAAGCAGATAGCAATCATCTCTCAAAGCATATAGTTCCCCTATATAACTCATTTCTCAGTGAACTATTGATGCCCTTCTCCCACATATCAGCATCCTCATGGTAGAAGTAGGATGAGTACACTCACATTCCATTGGAAAAGTCATTCATTACTGGCCGCAAGCTTGTGAATGTGAGAATGGGTATGAGAGCAAAAGGAAGCTGGAAAACAGAACAGTACAATTAGTGCAAGGAAAATATAAAACAGGCCTTTCTTACTTCATGAGAAATAGTTATAACTACCAGCCYGACATGCTTCAAGAATTGTTGAAATCTGCCAAGCTGTCATTAACCTAGCATGAATGATGATCTAAGTGTCTTTACAAATACTGCATCTGACTTGTCTTATTAACATACATATGACATACCACCATGTCCCATAGTTCACGTAATGCTTGCTAGATTAATGAACTACAATTTTGTGTTCCATATTTAAGTATATAGTTCATAATTCCCACTCAATAGGACTGAAAAACAAAACTATTCCTAAAACCTTAGATGGCAATATTTCATATACATTTTCTGCATTACAAGACCCAGGCCTCTTTCTTCATTTCCATTTCCCCACTAAACCCAACACAAGGCTTGCTACACTAGGGCAGTATTTAATATTATCTGACTATGTGGGATGAGTTTCCCCAGACCCTGCTCACCTGTAAGCTCTGCAGAACATTCAGGAAGTCATTCATCCCTGTTAGATGCTCTACATCTTGGAAGACAGCAACAAGCAGAGTGGGGATGATAGCAATAGAGCGTGTCAGAATCACTCGAGCAAAACGTGACCATTTTAGGTTTAGGAATCCCTGAAAGAAAACACAGGAATAGGATAACAGGCTGGACCAGGAAGAAGAAAAAAGGGGGTTACGGAGAGACCTTAGAAGGGACCAAGAAATATCTAAGGATTAGTCGTCTCCCTCTGTTCAACAGCAGCACATACCTCCATGACAAACTGACCAGAATAGGTTCCTGTCATGGTGGAGCTCTGTCCAGCAGCCAAGATCCCCACTGCCCAGATGTAGAGTGCAGCAGGCCCGAAGTAACATCCCAGCACAACACCCTGGGACAGGCAAGGGAGAAGATATGCCTGTGTCAGTCATCTGCTTAGAAAACACCCCAAACACCATTTCTCTGTGACATTTCTCCCTCTTCTTTGCCAAGAATCACCTACACTAGAAACTATGCTAGGCACTGTCCCAAAAGTAGGCTCAGGTCTTGATCTGATTCTAGAGGCTTTCAGTCTCAACAATTGCTGGATGGTCCTTCATTCCTCAGCCTACTCTCTTCACTTCTCTAAGCGTCTAAAGTCTTGATCTCCATCTACTATCTTAAATTCTGAAAAAATATAAGCCTAACCACATTTCCCAAATTGTTCTCCTTAACACACTCTTCTAGAAAATGGCAAAAGTGCAGGAACAAGTCAAATAAATATGGGAGATGCTGTATACTATATATTCAACTCTTGGAAGGTCACAAAGGGACCACTTAATGGGACAGAAATCCCCTATAAATAAGAAAAAAGGGGGTTACGGAGAGACCTTAGAAGGGACATTTTCTTTATTCCTTTTTAAAAAAATTGTATTGGGGATTAAACCCAGGGCACACAACCATTGAGCAACATTCCCAGTTTTATTTTAAGATAGGGTCTCGATAAGTTGCCCAGCCTGGCCTTGCAATCCACCTGTCGTAGCCTCTCATGCCCCTGGGATTACAGGCACGTACTACCACGCCTGACTACATTTTTTTATAGTCACCCCAATTAACATCCTGTAAAAGAATGTACTATACTATGAGTTTGGGAACAGCTGGCATACAATCCACCTTTTCAACTGATCCTCTATTCCCTCCCATGTAATCCAAAATGTTTGTCTGGCATCTGGACCTTTAAAATAAATGATACTCCAGGGGAGATAAACCTGCTCAGAAATGAAGTGAAGTCACTAAGACCAGAAAATATGCTGAGAAGATTGAGTCACAAACAAAGAAAAAAAAACATAACCTCCAGAGGCTTACCCCTTTGTAGATATCCACAGCCAGAGTTGAATTATCTTCAGGGAAAAGGCCAGCATAGGGACTGCTGCTATTTTTACACACATCAACCTAGAACCCAAAAATGTTTAAGCGCAAATTTTATTTCATAGGCCAGGACCAGATGAGAAAAGCACTCCAATACATCACATACATGTCCTCTCAAGAGGCAACTAGAAGACTGGGGTTGTAGCTCTGTGACAGAGCACTTGCCTAGCATGTGTGAGGCACTGGGTTGCATCCTTGGCACCATAAAAAATAGATAGATAGATGGATAGACAGACAAAGGTATTGTGGTCCATCTACAACTAAATAAAATAATAATAATAATACACAGCTGGAGAAAAAAAAACCCTGGATACAGGTGGTGATGGGGACAGAGACAGGCAGCACTCTTATTTGGGATCCTCCTCCATAATTTTTCCACATTCCACACTTGCAAAGAGCATGTCATCAAAGTCTTTACTGAGTTAGAACAGATATGGCAATACATAAACACTGGGGCATTTTAATGAGGACTAGAGGAGAGGCCCTCAAGAAGGCTTCAAACATGAAAGGACACCCAGGACAGGAAGCCCTTAGTCAAAGCAAAGCCAGCAGTCAGAGGTCTTGCTGGCAGGAAATAAATGAGGGTCAAAACTACATAGGCAGTCAGAAATCTGGACACAGAATTCAAAATAACAAAACAAAGCCTATCCTGGTCACACTTTCTGTTTCCTGTTTGCCAACTCTTCCCAAGCTGACATCTCAAATGGCAAGACTGACCAGCAAGCAGGCAGAAGTTAATAGGAAACAAAAGGGAATAATAAAGAGCTGAAGAGACTGAAGCCACCTACATGACAGCTGAGGCCAGCTTCCTTCCCAGACAGAAGTGAGAACAGATGGGTCCAGGCTTCTTCAGCCACCACACTATAGGCTGAGTGGTGCACAGTGACTGGGGTTGTGGAGTATAGCATGGGGGGCCAAAGAATCATTTTCCTGGACTCTTGAGTCAATGTTGTATTTCCCTAACCCCATTCCAGCCTGCATTTTGCCCTAAAACTCAAGACCACCCCTGACCCAGGCTTACTTACCACCTGCTCATTGGTTTTCCCAAAAAATGCTTCAGCAAAGACTGAGACGACAAAGACGTTGATGATGAAGGAAACAAAGAGGGCAATGCAGGATTCAATGAAAAAGTACTTGTTGGCTTCTCGGACTTCCTGCTTATTGGCCCGGTTTACCTGTCTAGACTAGGGAGATAACAGCAGCATTCATTTTTGGAGCACATGGAAATGAGTTTCTTGGGAGTATTTCAGGACTTTGGATATCAGTCCTGAAATGTCAGCAGAGAGATTCAGAGGGCAAACAACTGACTAGGTGAAATCGGGGAGACCCAAGACTTACCTATATCCTAGTTCACTAAGCAATTAAAAACTCCATTCCCTTGGAGAGCACTGTGCATTTTCCAAATAGGGACCAGGGACTAAGTACTACTGACTCTCAGATATAGTGGCAGGAATACTGACTCTCAGATATAATGTACAACCTGACTTATAAAGGTCTCTGAAATCGTCCAGCAAAAGATTGCATAAGATTAACTGATAAAGTATGATTGGGCACCGTTACTACTGACTGCAAGGTCATTTAGCCCTGGAGATTTAAACATAAGAGGTTTGATGCACATTGAGGCCTTTAAGAACATCAGTCCTAGCTTCTCTGCGGGGTCACTAATCCCTCTTCAATTTACTGATAAAAACACTGCCCAAGAACATGCAGTTTATAAACTTCCAGCCTTGCTCCTTCAGGATTCTAGGAATTGCAAGCTAAGTTCTGTCCCTTGAAATAAAGGAAAAGATCTCATTAACTATCCAGATGGGCAATGACAAAAGGGCTTTTGCTCACCTTGACTAAGGCAGAATGTAGGTACATGTTGTGTGGCATAATGACAGCTCCCACGATGCCCACAGCCTGTTCAATCTGCGGGGTCTTACAGCCAGAACAAGATGGCACGAACATGCCCTTGAGAACCTCGCTCTGACTGGGTTTCACTGTAATATACTACATATCAACATAACAATTATTAGCCTTCATGAAACATGACACAGGAGCATAACATAGTACTAGGGAGCTCGTGGTATCCTTTTCTCCTTGCAACACCTTCTACAATAATCATCTAAAACAGTGAAGGATACAGATCCTCAAAAAACTAAGCAACAGCTAAAAACACTGGCACATGCCTTAGTTCCCAGATATTTGGGAGGCTAAGGCAAGAAGATTAGTTTAATTCAGAAGTTAGAAGCCAGCTTTGGAAACATAGTGAGACCTATCTCCTTAAAAACAAAAACAAGGGGCTGGGGTTGTGTTTTAGTGGTAGAGCGCTCGCTTCACATGTGCGAGACCCTGGGTTCAATCCTCAGCACCAAATAAAAAAGTGAAATAAAGGTATTGTGTCCAACTATAACTAAAAAATATTAACAACAAACAAACAATCAAAAAAACAGAGGGGAAGTGAATGAGCACGGCATGCTTACCTAGGATGTGCAAGGCCCTGGATTCCCAACACACACACACACACACACACACACACACACACACACAAATATCAAGCAACAAATGAGGCTTACTGCCAGGGAATCAGGGAATTCAAGACTAGATTCTCTAGAAATTCAATTCTTGATTATCAACATTTATGATGTGTCTGTTCACTTATATTAACTTAAAAATCACCTATTTCTGGCACAGTGTATAGTCAAAGTCTCATTCATAAAAATTTCTCATACATCCTTTTCCCAGATTCAGCATTTTTCTTAGAAACTTTAGGCCAAACTGCATAATCAACTCATAGATTAGATACAGTTTTTAAAGTTAAGCCAGGCCAGTAAGCAACAACAAGACAGAGAAAAGTGCTATTAATGCAAATAATGGTACTGACTTCTAAGAATATCTGATTGGAGCACAAAATAAACCAAGAAATATTCACTGTATCACCTATAATTCATTAACTCTTTAGATACAAAGAAAATTTAAGCTGAAATTAATATAAACTGAATAAACAAAAACAGAACCACTTTTGGCTAGCAATAAGAATAACCATGCAAACCCCTCCCTAACCCTCTCCAAGGCTATTCTACTGTCAGGATGGCCAATTTGGCACCAGGGAGCCTATTCTGGAAAATAGCATCTCGTCATTTTGGAACAGGAATCTCTGAAGGCCTTCCTGCACATGGATATTGACTATAGATTATATTCCTTCAAAATAAATAGCCCAGGGCTGAACTGGCTTTTTGTTGAAACATGTAATACCATTAAACCATCCTAGCATTGTTACTGTCTTTTACAGTGAAAGACTAAACACAAAACAAAACCTGTTTTAAAAAACTAATGACCAGCATGTAACACTTGCCTCATATCCAAATGTGAGGGCCATAACTGTGATGAGAAAGCCAAAAAATGCTTCTAGCTTCCGCAAGCCTAAAGGGGAAATGCAGCAGTGAGCTCAAAGAAGGCACTTCCCCAGCAGCCATGTAATGGAAAGTGGCTCCTTTGATTGCCACCCTCATTCCCACTCGCCTTACCATATTTGTCCAAAAAGAGAAAAACAAAAGTATCTGCRATGGTGATGAGAACTCCACCCCACAGGGGAACCCTAGGTTGGAGATCAGAAATGGAGATTAAAGGAAAGAAACATTGAAAAACACCTTCCTCCCACTGATACGGAACACCTACAAGAAGCTAGGATGTAGGGGAGGAGGGACAGTGTCAGGAAGCCTGGCCTTGGATAGCTGAGGATCAGAGCACTAACTTAAACATGTTCACTCATGTACTGAGACAGATTTTTTTGGTCAGGAATCTGTAAAGTATAGGTCTTTTCCTCAACGAGCTCACTATCTGTGGGATAAAATGACATACAAATAAACAATCAAATACAAAATACCACAGACTCTATAATAGAAGTATGTATAACCCACCATGGGAACAGAAGACTGCTGGGGGAGAGGAGGGTGGTTCCAGAAAGGCTCCACAAAAGTAATAATACTTCAGTTGAATCTTGAAAATTGAAAATGAGTTGGGTTTTCATTTTTGCCTTTACTTTGAAATCCAGGAAAACACTGTTAACTTTCCAGGGAAAACCCCCTCACCTTCCCACAGACAGGAGATTGATGGCAATGGCTGAGCCAATGACTTCTTGCATATCTGAGCCAATGATTGCCAACTCCACCATCAGCCACAGGATGATCCGTGGGACCTACACAGTCAAGAATGAAAGAARTGGTTCTGATTATTCATTTCTAAGAACTTTTTTTGTAGTTCTAGTCTAAAGGATTGCCAAAGATGATCCTTTATAAGGCTCTCTACTGGAGAGGAATCACCAGAACCTGACCCTATTCAGTGTATCACTGCACTGTGGTCCCCAGAAGGAAAAGGAAAATGTGCTTCCAGGTTATGGACTATGTGAAGTTGCCAAGGTCAGCATGGCAACTCATTTACTTTTTTCTTCTTCCTTCCCATTTAAAATAGGAATGAAATTCTATTCACTAATTACCATTCTATTTCTTGCCTAAAAATAATTCTAAAAAGCTTTAGGGAAGAATAGTATGCCAATATGGTATAAGGGTCGAGAGAGAAAAGAAAACGACTACAAAAGAAAACACCTATTTTGACCATAGCTGGAGTTAACAAAACAAATATGAAAAGCCTGGGGGTGGGGGTGTGTCATTTCTAAAGTAATAATAATACACATGGCAAGTGAAAACAGATAAGCAAAAAGACCAGGATAAAGTAGTTGGAATTGGGTGGCATGTAGCAAAGTAGGAAAACACATATTTAATTAATGTTCTCTCACTGAAACCATAAAAAAAACACTTTCATAAGAAGAAAAAGAAGCTAGAAGAAATTATAAATTACCAAGGTTGTTTTATTTTTGTTTTTTTTTTTCTTTCTGTACTGGATATTGAACCCAGGGCTCTTCACCACTGAGCTACATCCCCAGCCAATCTTTTTTTTTTTTTTTTTTGAAAAATTTTTAAAAATTTGTTCTAATACATGATAGTAGAATGCATTTTAGTACATCATACATAAATGGAGTATAACCTCTCATTCTTCTCATGGTACATGATGTAGAATCACACCAGTCATGTAATCATAAATGTACATAGGATAATAATGCCCAACTCATTTTACTATCCTTCCTATCTCTATACCCCTCCCCTCCCTTCACTCCCCTCTGCCTAAAAACAGAGGTATTTATTTTTCATTTTGAGACAGGTTCTCATTAATTTGCTGAGACTGGCTTCAAAATTGCAATCCTCCTGCCTCAACCCTGAGTAGTTGGAATTATAGGTATACATCATTGCACTTGGCCCAAGGTTTTTTGAAAAACAGGCAAGAGTACTTAATATTTGTAGCCACCAAAAGAGCTTAAACTTCAAGGACACATGAGAAATAGGTCAGTATCTTATCCAAAGATGAAGCTATATTTAAAATGTCTTCCAGGACCACTGGGGGATGTAGTTCAGCAGTAGAAAACTTAACTAGTATATGCAAGGCTCTGGGTTTGATCTCCAGCAATGAAAAATAAAAAAGTCTTCTAGACACAGTGTATTCCTGCCTTAGACATAGTAAGAAGGTCCCAAAACAACCTGAAGGAAACTGCAAAAATAGTGTAACTCCTGGAGTGACAATAAATTTAAAAATACTTCACAAATACCCAAATCCTACCACATATGCTGTAAAAGGAAAAAACTGACCTCTTTCAAAGTAATAGCAAAATAAACAATAAAGAAGAATCATATAATGAAAACTGATGGAGCAACATGGAGGGCTTGGGGAGAGCACCCTTCCCCTTCATGGGATGGGCACTGCTAGATTCCAGAAAGTGGAGTAAATGGTTTGCTCAAGCAGAATTTCTAACATTCTGGAAGCAAGTGAACTTTATGTTAGATTTTGAAGATTGGGGGGAAACATGGCTTGGCAATAAGAGGGGCAGCAGGAGTTCCCTTAATACTCCAGTTCAAGTCCTCCAATGTCTCAGTATACAGTGGGGTCAACACATATTGCCAGATACACAGATTACCAAATGGATGAGACACAAATAGCACAGAACACTGCTCACCTTGGGATACTGACGGTGACACACTTCAGCAAGATGTAGCCCAGTTACCACTCCCAGTCTAGCTGCAAGGCGCTGAAGCAGCAGACCCACTATGGTGGCCAACAGAAGGACCCAGAGCAGCTAAGAACAAAAGAAAATCCCCAAAGTATTCATCAGACAACTGAGTGGTTTTTTTTTTTTTTTTTTATTGTTGTTGTTTTGGTTTGGCTTTGGCAATATTAAAGGGAAACACTACATGCTGGAAAAGCCCATGTCAAGCATCAAAATAATCTGAGCTCTATATTAGTTACTTAACTTGACCTGCCTGTCAGTACCATGTTCCTTTCTGAGCTGCTTCTCCCACTGCAATTTCTCCTTTGTTCAAGAAAATTACATGGATTAAAAAAAAAAAAAAAAAAAAAACAGATGGGAAAAACTTTTTATATAGTAAGTGTCACTACCAATGAAGTACAACTTACCCTTAAACAATACAGGGTCTAGTGGAGTAGGAGCACCAATCACTTGTATAGATGAAAATCCATATTCCTTTGACTCCCCCAAACTAAACTACTTCCTATTGACTGCAAGCCTCACTGATAAGGTAAATAGTCAATACAAAGGATAAGGATCATATATGCCTAAGGATCATATATGGTGAAAAATGCATGAGAACTTCAACAAATCACTTTTTACTACAATACACAATTTATTAGAAGAAGAATGATCAAAGATGATCAGTCACATAGCATGTTAGGTGGAAACTCACAACACTTCAGCTCACCACAACAGCAAAAGTAAGTGGCTACAAAATTACTGCAGAAGTACATAATTAATTTTATGTAGTTATAATTTAATATCACATCCTGATGTTTCCTTGCATGTCCATCAACTGTAATTAGCAGCATGTATGAATTGTGTAAGTTCTAAATAAATTTAATTTTTTACAACAGATTTGTATATATTTCCCATCTGGTATTTTTATTTTTGTGTAGATAAAATAGTTTATCTACATTTATTTTATGCATTTATGACATAACTAACATTGTCTTCAATATTTCTAAGTTATTCAGTTCATCTCTTGAGTTTTTTCAAATGGTCAAAAATCTCAAAAAAGAGAATCCACATACAAATAGATCCATGCAGTTCAAACCTATGTGGTTCAAGGATCAACTGTATCTGCATGTAACCCTTGAAGCTGCTAGCCCACAGACAGGGTATAGGAAAGGATTTAGGGTATAGTTTGTGTTTAAAAGGGCAGGGGTAGATGTAGATGTTCACCTTAAATCCAGCCACTGCTCCAGACTGCAAATCGGATTCAATATTTCCTGGATCCAGATAGGCAATGCTCATAAGAAAGCCAGGTCCCGTGAATGCCCAGAGTTTACGAAAGCTAAAACAAGAATACTATACAAGAGAAGAGAGGAGCTCAAACTGAGTGTCACCTCCAAACTACTGATTTAATTTATCTATTATTGAATTACACATGAATCATCAATATCAGCTTCACAAGAACAAAGCCTAAGGGTTAGATATTGAATGGGTCCAACTTTCACTTCATCTTATCCATCTCTTATTGACAAGCTGATCATTTGTCTAAGTGAGAGCCCTCGCCTTCCATGCTCTTTCCATCAGCATCTCATTCTAAAATCAGACTAATAAAATCAGTACCTTTGGTCCCAAGCACTATCTAAACAGGATTAAGAGCCACATGTGGGGGCAGGGGAGCTCCCTAGTACCACTTAGCAACTAACTGTGTTTCAGGCCCTCATATTCCTTAATAATTTATTTATTCTAATTTAAAAATCTAGTCTTCAGAGATTGGCTACAAAAATTAGACCTGAACCTTTGAGCATGTGTCATCTAGTAAATCTTTCACACACAAGCTTTCCCCAGACAATAATATGCTGGCTCAAATATGTCACCAACCTCCTCCTCAGGAATGGCAATCTTCTCATCAAAGTAGGTGGTGAATGGCTCCTCCGACTGCCCAGTGGACTGTGGAAGTGAGGAGTTACTATAGGCAGCATTGATGGCACCAAGACTGGCAGAGTCCCCATGGTCTCCAGAAGCACTGTCTGAATTAACACATTTGAGAAGAAATGAATTAAAATGAGCAAAATACACTAACAACTCATATTAAGTAATACTGAAATTCAATCTTTTTTTTCTTTTTCTTTTGGTGGTGCTATAATGCTGTATCTAACCCAGGGTCTTAAAATCTCTGGCATCTAAAATGAAATATTTTTAATACCTGAATACACAAGAGACTAATCTGACCTAGCTTGATAGATTTTTTGTAGTTTATTATTACCTATATTTTAAAATAAACTTTTCTTTGACTAGGTAATACATTCACATGGTAAAAAACTAAAGTAATACAAAAAAGCCTTACATTATTCAATCCCCCTCAGCCTGCTCGTCCTATCACTCAGCACTGGATCAGTTTTAACACTAATCTCTCAGTGGTTTTCCTACTCCATACTCGTACTTGGTAATTTTAGGATCATTTCATTTTCCCCTAAAAGCACTGACATCTAGGACTTGAAATATAACATTCCCAGACAAACCCCACTAATAACCTAAAATCCTAACATTTAAAAGAAAAAAAGTTGGTCAATCTACTGGAACATATCTACCTCACCCAATTATTTGATAGGTCATACTCAAATAATCATTCTTGGACATTACACCTCTATCAGGTTTCTCAAAAAATATACAAGTTACAAAATCCTGCCACAGTTTAAGGTAAAATCTGATGCTGTGGGCAACCACCGAGTAGGAACACTTTGCATCCTGAATAAGGCATACAGTGAAGAGCTGCTGGTCACGGGTTGCCAGCACACTCTAGATAGCAGGGCCCATCTCAGCCTGATATCAGTGTTTCCTACAGACTTGCATTTCACAATTAATCCTAAGTGCAGAGAGGGTAGGTCCAGGAGAAAAGAGCCAACCCACCAGAAATATATAAAGTCTAGTTTGCCACAGACATGATATGACCATGTTGAACCACAAAGCTCTATTCTCTATGTTTCTAATAAATTCTTACAACCTTCAACTAGAAAACCAAGAGCTTTGTTTATATAGGAAGGTGATCCATCCACATCACTTAACTGGCTGAAGATATTTATAGAAAAGGAATGGAAATTCCAAAAGGGAAGTTCAGAATTACAAAGGATTGGTTAAAGCACTTGAGAAGCTCCAACAAAATACAGAATGAGGGACTCACTCTGTATTTTACTGTTCTTACATATCTGAAACATTAGAAAATATCATGAATGCCCAAAGCACTCCAAAGGTCATTATGCCAAGTCTGGGAACAGTGTTATCCTTGCAAGAATGCTACAGAAACCAAACGTGAAACAAAATGTAGTTCAACTCTGAATTGGAAATAAGATGAGGCAGGTCTCTGTAGTTATAAACCTACATTTCATATAACCAAAGTCACTAGATGTGACTCCTGAATGGAGTTTGTTAGAACAGATAACAGGGAAAATATGGCAAATTTTAGGTTTTGACATAAGCCTAATTCTGAATAAAAATTGGATAACAACACAAAGCTCAAAGTTACCATCTGGCATCGTCTGTTCAGGACCCAGTACCATGGTGGATACCTGAGTACCCGTGTTCTTAGAATAGGATTCTGGAAAGGAAAAAAGGGAGGGAGAAGAATAAGCAAAAATGAAACAAGTTCAGAATCAGCATTTTGTTACTCTGTATGATTGAACCTTTTTTTTCTCTCTCTTTTTTTAAGAAAAGAACATTCTTCTACTGAATTAAATCACCTTGAAAATAATTATAGCTTTCAGTATGAGAAATATTTACAAAAATAGAAAAGCCTTAATCATATTTTTGCTGGTAAGACTTTAAAACCAAATTGAAGCAAAAGTTATTTTACAGATTTAGGTAATCCTTTTAAATAAATACTCATTGAGAGGCTGCTAGGCAATTACCCAATCTGTCTTTGCCTCCAAACGTCTAAAATCAGAATAATCTTCCCCAGTTTTACGAGATTTTTTTTTTAATTTTAGTTGTCAATGGACCTTTATTTTATTTATTGATACATGGTGCTGAGAATTGAACCCAGTGCCTCACACATGCTAGGCAAGCATTCTGCCCCTGAGCTACAACCCCAGCCCAGTTTTAAGGACAGATTTATAATTGTTCTACCTAACAAGGTAAGTTCATGGTTTAATCTCCAGAGAAGGGCAAAAAAAGCACTACACCAGTACACTGGTAATAGAGAGCCTCTAATTACCCCAAGGAGAGATGTTAGCTATGATCCAGTCTCACTCCCAACCCTCTGACAACTGGGAAAGAAATGAATCACCCATGGTTTCTCCTGAGCTCTCAAGGAGAGGTGAGGTATCAGTAGAACTAGGCCCAGTCTGTGAGATGCCAGCCTTGTCTGGGTCCTATAGTAAGCAACCTGAAAGACTAGGGCTGGTAGTGAGGTGTCCCACATGCTCAGCATCCTTTTGGAGTAAACTGGCTACAAATCTACCACACATTCTCTAGTCAACCTTACCAATAAGGCTGATTTTTAAATTTCAATGTAGTTCTAAAAATCTACTTCTTGGTTACTTCCAAGTTTAGAAAGGAAAAGACAAGGTGATATGTATTGATTATCTCTCCCATTAAATCCCAGCAGTAACTATCCCTTTAGCCATCTTTCATTGCTAAACTGTAATCTTTCTCCACTCTTGCTCCGTATGTTGCAATCCTCGCTTTCTTTTTTTTTTTTTTTCTATCAATCAACAGATTCTATACCTATTTTATAGAATTCTAGCATTCAGACCTGAAGAGAGTTTTTAGGTCATCTATCTTCTGGGGTACAAAACATATCACCACCTACTAATTTAGAAACATCATTTTTCCCCTCCATAGTCACTGATGTCAAGTATTAGATAACCTCAGACAACTCTGTTTTTTCCTGTCAGATTTTAACCACCAAGTGGCTAAAAACTAGCCAAAGAGCCCAATAACACTGACTAAATATGCCCTTCAGTGAGTTGCAACAGTCCTCACCTAAATGGGATTTATACTTCTGACCACTCCCTTGGATTCCAATCAGCACAGCCCCTTGACACCCCCAGTCTTTTTATTTGTTTTACATGTAATTCAATAAGCCAGGTTATCTTAAACCAAAATAAATCAGAAACCACAAATCAGATCTGAAATTATGACTCTTATAGGAAAAGGGGAACTTAGCACAATAAGGAATCAGGAAAATTTCAAAAGCAAATCAATTAGCTTTTGGTATGAGAAAAAGCTCTTCCTTATACTTCAGTCAAGTCTGACAACATTCTTACAAATTCAATAACATCCAGAAATTATTAAATTGCATTGTAATAATGGTTGATAGCCTATTTTAAAAGGCAGGGACATGTGTAATACATTTTAGGAAGATTTCTATCCAAAGCAGGCTTTTAAAAGTTATCTTTAGAGGCTGGGGTTGTGGCTCAGTGGTGGAGCGCTCATCTAACTCGCATGGGACACTTGGTTCAATCCTCAGTACCACATTTTAAAAAATGAAATAAAGATATTGTATCCACCTACAACTAAAAAGTAAAAAATAAAAAGTTATATTTAGCCAGGTATAGTGGGGTGACTTCAGAGTCTGAGACAAGAGGATTACAATTTAGAGGACAGCCTCAGCAACTTAGAGACCCTGTCTCAAAATGAAAAATATTAAGGAAGAAATGTTTCATAATAAATTTCTAAATTATTAATGGGATTCTAAGTGATCATTTCTATACCAAGTACACACAGAGTCAATAAAACACAAGAAGTCTGGTCTTCTCTGAAACCTCAAGAACATACTATACCAAGAGAAAATATAGATTCTAGATTCCAATTTTCTCATTGCAGCTTTTAGTCAAAAAACTGTAAGGCCCACTGCTCACATATCTATAGAATAAAACTAGGGCAGGGAACAGAAAGGGTCAGTTATGATTGGTATRCTGCATAGAATTTTAAGTCCCTATGATAATTTATGATCCATGTGGTAACATTAAGTTAATATTAGGCAGTTTTGCTCTCCAGTACTGTAATACCATGTTGTTTCAGTCATTTCACTACATTAAGGAAAAGATGGGAGGCCACAAGCAACCCAAATGAACCAAGCAATACTTTAGTAATTATGATTAATCCTACTATAACATTCTAGTGTGCCCCCAACCATCAAGTGTCACCTTCTCTAAAATCCAGTACATTTCCTCCTATCAAAAAGTAACAATAGGGGCTGGAGTTGTAGCTCAGCAGCAGAGTGCTTGCCTTGTACATGGAGGCAATGGGTTCAATTCTCAGTACCACATATAAATAAGTACATTAAATAAAGGTTCATCAACACCTGGAAAAAAATGGCAAAAAAAATAAATAAATAACAATAGAGGACTGGGGTTGTAGCTCAGCAGTAGAGCACTCACTTGGCACATGCAAGGTGCTGGGTTCGATCCTCAGCATCACATAAAAATAAATAAATAAATAAATGTATTGTGTCCACCTTCAACTAAAAACAAACAAACAAGTAACAATAGAAAACATAGCACTCGGGGCTGGGGATGTGGCTCAAGCGGTAGCGCGCTCGCCTGGCATGCGTGCGACCCGGGTTCGATCCTCAGCACCACATACCAACAAAGATGTTGTGTCTGCCGAGAACTAAAAAATAAATATTAAAAAAAAAAAAAGAAAACATAGCACTCATAGTTTCAATGAATTATGACTATTTTATCCCATTCATTATCATTAGTTATAAGACTGTTTTACAGGAATAAAAATGCTAATCAAATTACATTTTCTAAAATTTCAAAAGCCTGCACATTCTTTGACTCAGCAATTCCACTCCTAAGAATAAATCTTAAAAGAAACACACACACGAGGGGGTGCTGAGGTTGTGGCTCAGTGGTAGAGTGCTTGCCTTGCCCATGTGAGACCCTGGGTTGGATCCTCAGCATTGCATAAAAATAAATAAGTGAAATAAAAGTACTGTGTTCAACCACAACTAAAATTTATATATATAAATATATATAAATGAATGAATGAAACTCACGGAAATATGTGCAAAGACATTACTACATTTTTTATAGTGTCAAAATACTGGAAAACAAATCTGCATATTAGTAAAGAACTGGCTGAATAAACTGCACATTCATAGGACAGAATAACATGTAGCCATTATAAATAAGGCAAGTCTATATGTATTGATAAAGTAATCCAAGATATGCTGTCAAGTGAAAACATCAACTTATTAAACAGTATGCATCATTTACACAGAAAAAAAATGAGAAAGATCTGGTATAACCTTTGGACAAAATAATGGCTATCCCTAAGAAAAGGGAATGGGAGAGCAAAAACAAGGTCAAGTTAAGGGAAGACTGTTTACTGAAAACATGTTGTATAACTCTTTGGACTTAGGGAAAAAAACTTTTACCAGGTACATTATTTATTATTATTATTTTTCAATGTGGTACTGGGGAATCAAAGTGCTCTACACTTACTAAACATATATGTTACCACTGAGCTGGATCTCCAGCCCGTTTTCAGTTTTTAAAAAATGGACTCACGAAGCTTCTCAGAGAAACCAACACTTTGGGGATATTCAGTTGCACTTTCTGATAACACTTGTGCAATGGGTAATCAGAGATCTGCAGCTGTGAGATGACAGGCATTTATTGCCTTAAGCTTAACTAACCAATAGTTTCTCTTAGTGCTCAAATAGACAATAAAATTATGAAATTATGGTTTTGGAGTTTCACCTGAATGCAAAGAACAGACGCACTCTTCTCAGAGAAGCATTTCCTGGCTCCCTAATTTGGATTAAGTGGCCCCCTCTTCCCAGTTACACCAAGGTACCCACTGATTACCACTCTTACCATGTTGTCTTGAAAACATCTATTCCCTGGTAGTGTTCTTGCAATATTCCTGCAAGTTTGAAATTCTATGAAAACTAAAAATATATATATTGGTGATAATATGTTCTAATACCTAATTATCAATAATTCTGTCTGTTCTTAGCATTTAAAAGAACTCTGGAAGAACAATTTGGACAATTCAAACCTGTTCTAAAAAAGCACATAAGAATGTCTGAAGTACTAATTATTCAAACATATACAACTTTTTGTTGTTACCAGGGACTGAACCCAAGGTACAATGAGCCACATCCCCTGCCCTTTATTTGTGAGACAGGATCTCACTAAATTGCTAGGAGCCTTGCTAAGTTACTACGGTAGTTTCATGCTTTACCACACAGGCTACAACTTTAAACTTTTCCCCTATTGTTAAAAAAAACTAAAAAAATAAATATTTTTTAAAAAAATAGTTTGATTTTTAAATAATATGATTTATTTTAACATTCTCATAAAAAGAAAAAGACACTTAAAACCATTTCACTTGATTTTAGAGCTGAATCAGTCTTCCTAAAATTAATTGTAAGGTTAGGAAGGAATGTTTTGGAATACAGTCCTTTAAATCCACCCCTGCCTGCCTTTTTTTTTTTACTGGGGATCGAACTCAGGGGTGCTCTACCGCTGAACCATACCTCCAGACTTTTTAAAAATTTTTTTTGAGATAGGGTCTGGCGAAATTGCCCAACCTGGACTCCAACTTGCAATACTCTTGATTAGCCTCCCAAGTGGCTGGGAT